ATATATATATATATATATATATATATATATATATATATATATATATATATATTTACTCTATATTACAGTGTCATTTATGAAAATTTGTGGTTACATTTCTATCATTAGCAATGTTAAATGTGGATTTGATTCCTGTTATATCGCTTGTGGTAATTTCATAATTAACTAAGTGATAAAGAATTCTCATCACCTAAGTTTCAATTGGAGAGAAACTTGGATTCATGCAATTTGTATTGTGTGATGTATGAAAATATTATCATTTGGAAGATTATAAAAAAAATTCATTGATTGCATGTTTATGTGTGTCAAAGTGAAGGACTAATGGGTCTAGTACATGTTGATATGGACTATTCAGATCCACCACAAAGGACAATAACTCTATTCATCATGACTTATGGATGTTTCAATAAATATGGTTGTGTTTATAATATTAAACATAATTCTGATGCTTTGAACAAAGAGTAGTAGAACAAGTATGAAGAATCTATTAGGTAGAAAGATAAAAATTTTCTTTAATATGAGAGGAAAGGAGAGTACTTTAGTATCATGTTTTACGATCATCTTAATGATTGTGGAACTATATCACAATTTATCCTCGAATAATATCTGAGTGCAATTGTTTGAATAAGAAGAGGAATCAGATATTGTTGAAATGGTTCAATGAAGAGATGAATTATATTTCGTTTCCAATCAAGTCTCAGAGGCATGCTCTAGTTATTACAAAACGTATCTTGAAACTCATTTCAAAATAAGAAGTTTGAAAATACCTTGAAATATGTGGATTAATTTTTTTCTTAATCTAGCACATATAGAATTGGAGTTGTGATGTTATCGTTGGGATTCCTAACAGCCTCTTACAGAGTTTTCCTACAACAATAGCTATCACACAAGCATTGGTGCACCGCCCTTCGAGCTTTTGTATGGTCGGAGATGTCGTACCACAGTTTGTTGTGGGGAGGTTGGTCATATAGTCATGGGGAGGACTGAGGTGGTCCTCCAGACTATAGAGATCATCCAATAGATCAGACAGTGATTGTAGACAACTCAGAGTCGACAGAAGAGTTATGCCGACCGGCATTGATCTGTGTTGGTGTTCAAGGTCGACGACTTGGTACTACTGATGGTATCACCCTGGAAGGGTGTGATACTCTTCAGGAAGAAGAGAAAATTGGGTCCCCGATAAATTGGACCGTTTTGATTGATTGCCAGGGTAGGCATGGTGGCCTACCGGTTGGATTTGTCGAGTGTGCTAAGCGATCCACAACACTTTCCATATTTCGCAGTTATGGAAGTGTGCATTGGACGATGATGTAGTGGTCCCCTTGGATGACATTCAGGTCAATGAATTCTTGAATTATATTGAGAGGCTAGTAGCAATAATGGATAGAAAGATGAAGGCTTTATGCAACAAGGAGATACCCTCAGTAAAGGTTCAGTGGCAATATCGAAGAGGCTCCCAAGTGGACCTGGGAGACGGATGCGAAGATGGGTGAGCATTATCCTAATTTACTCATGTCGGATTAGGTATCTAAGCCCATAACTATAATTGGTATTGTTTGGGTGTCAAACCAACAAATGATGGGATAAAATAATATTAATATAACTCAAATCACTGTTATTTCTAATACTAAAGATAGTATAGAGTAAGTAGGGTCGGTCCACAGAGATACGGGACTTCTTATCTTGCCATATTTTCACACATAATACAAGTAATATTGAAATGGGGGTTTGTGTTTGAACTTGAATTAAACTTCATAAATAAGAAAGATTGAAAACAAACGCAGTAAAAGAAGTACATTTCCGATTCTGACTCTTATATATGTATTATGTTGAAAGATGTAATATGATTCTAACTCATGTTCAATCTAGGTTGGTAAGTTGGATATTAATAAACCCTAATATCCAAATTGGCAAAAGTATTTTATTCAAAACAAGATCTTCAAATAAAACTTCATTTAATTGATTCAATCCAAATAAGCTCTTGCATTAAATCATTAAATGATATTAGGTTCTTGCACTAATTACCAACAATGTTTAACATTCCTCCTAACCTTGGGAATATAAACATTTAATCTTTGATTGCACTAATTTTGATCTAATTACAACCAAGTAAGTGAGTGTTACTAACATCAAATCATAAAACATATACGAATTTCATGATTTGATAAACTAGATTGACTAGAACCCTAGTTCATTGATCAAGTGAAAAAGAGAACTAATCAAACGCATGATTAAGATCAAATCAAAGATTACTAGATGTTAAACACAAGTCAAATTCAAGTTACAATCTAACAACACATACTTAAGAATTTAGATTCGGAAATGATAATAAAATTAACCACACATATCTAGGTTGAACTACAAATCAAACAAGTTTAAACTTCAAATTGACTTATAAAAAGAAATTAAAGTGTTTTCCAAGTGTTAATCTACTTGCAAAAGCTTTGAAAATTGTCTCCTCTCTTCCCAAAATCCGACCTAACTCCCATAAAAACTGATTGTCTGAATTATAAGAAGACAAAACCACTTTAAACCTGCCGAGACGTTTACACGGCCCGTGTAAATTAAAGGGTGCGATTTACACGGCCGTGTAAACAAGAAAAGTAGAATGCTTAATTCTTCCAGGTCTTCGAAGTAGAATGCCCTTGCATATATGTTTACACGGCCCGTGTAAATTATAGGTATACGTTTACACGGCCGTGTAAACTCCTGTGAAGCCAAATTCTTCATTTCTTCATTCTCTCTCTTCAAAGCTCCAAAACTTCTACAACTTTGTCTCCAACTCTTGATAACTTCCTCCATCTAGATCCAACCTTCATAAGTCCCTGAAATATCCTAAAAGCGTGTGAATGGAATTGCATCATGAAAAATCCCGAAAATATGCAAAATGCATTAGTTTAAACCTAAATGTAATGCACTTTTATGAACTAAAACTACAAAATGAATGCATGAAATGCACCTAACAAATCTCCCCAAGCTTGAACCTTTCTTGTCCTCAAGAAAGAACAAGAAGATTTAAACTGAAAAAAATAGAATAGAATAGAAGAAAAGAAAATTAAAGTTAAAACTATTTGAAACTTAATGCATGAAATCAAAACAAACATGAAAAGATCCAACCCAATTACCCTGTTTTGTACCATAGATGAGAATGTACCTGTCATGCCTTGAGTTAACTTTACTTTAGTCTCAAAATATTACATGATAATAGAAACAAGACTTTGGCCACTCCCTAGTACAACTCAACAGAATTAAAGATCACAACACTTATTCATTTTCAATATCATAAGTCAATTCTTGGAAAAAATTATGGTCTTACTCTCATGAAATTATATGTGACAAAACATGCTCAACCATCTTTCTTTCATAAAATATAACAATGTTCGATTCCAGCTATTTGTTGGTCAACAACAATCTTTTTCTGAAAAATCTTTTCTAAAAATTCCCTAATATTTATCCAGATTGGTTACAAACTTCAAACCACTTACACCAGTCGAAGTAATTAACAATTAATCCATTGTAATAAATTCAAATCCAAGTCAAAGGGAATCTTTTGACAGCCAAGTGTTTTTCCTAAACACAATATCTAATTAATCTATAAACACAACTATATACAAACCTCCTAATTACATTTTTTTAAAAAAAAATAAACCTCATGGATTTCTTTGAAGTCCGTGTAACGGGCTTCCAACCAACACATCCAGATCAAATGACCTTAGTGTGCTAGATTTAAAAGGATCCCTTGGGTTTACTTGCCCGAATCTCAAAGGCCACAGATTAGCTTTATTTGCTATTATTAAGTCCATGACTTTCTATGGAACCTGTGTAACGAACTTTCAACCCAATCAGTCCCAAACAATTTAGCTTTAGGTGATTAGATGTAAAACACCCCTCAGAGCTTACTTGTTCGAATCCAAAAGGTCACAGATTAACTTAATAATAGCTTTTTTTTTAATAGAATTCACACAATTATAAATAACTCAGTTAACACATAACACTCTTATTAACTTATTTATTTGGCTAATTTCTTTATATTTCCGTCCTTGACTTTTATATTATGGGACATCTCACGGTCTATTACCGTGAGGGACTTCTGGACATTTTTCGAGGGATTAAATGTTAACATGCAAAAACCCGTAAGTATAGTTAAAAGCTATGTCCTCAAGCAGGGTATATAAAAGGGAATGAGTAGAAAGGACTTTTAAGAGTGCTAGAAGGTGGGACATTGAGATTTTGCATTCTTTTTATGAACTTTTGAATTTGACCTTTTAAGTTTAATTGAGCATTACTACTCATAAGACCGGTCATATGTCCCAAAGAATCAACTCATACCTGCTGTTATGCTCCAGTGTTGACAATCTTCTCATTTTCTGTTTTGCACAAGTAGCTTCGGGAGATGTGCTCGTGTGTGATTAACTCGCTTTTAGATTTTTCAATAAAAAGAGCAAGCCAATTTCAAGGCACATGACTCATTTACCTGCTCAACTGTTTTGAAAGGATTCGGTTGCTTGGGATTGGATCGGGTTTTTTTTTTTTTTTTTTTTTTTTTTTTTTTTTTTTTATAATTATGCAATGAATGCAACGCAAAAATTTAGATGCAAAGAAAAATAATAAAAATTAGAATAGAAAGAAAATCTTTTTGGTTTTTTTTTTTTTTTTTTTTTTTTAAATTTTCCATGCAGAAAAAGAAAATGAAATGAAAATTAATGCGATATGTACAGAACTACATGCAACCTACATGCAACGGGATAATGCATGGATGGATGCCCCTCCCCAAGCTTAAAATATAGCATCGTCCTCGATGCTTGGAGAGAGGCGTAGCCGTCCTATTGAGGACCGGGCGGAGGATATGGAGGGAACTGTGAAGGGTAATTTGTAGGATAATAGGGAGGCCATTAGGGTTGGGATGCTGATGGCTGCTGCGGCTGTGTGGAGAGCACAAGAACTCTATGGATATCACTCAGCAGATGGTGAATGTTGCGGTTGTGCTGCTCTTGAGTAGCTCATCTTTGATCCTGTTCAGCCCACCACAACTCTTGTTGGGCCCAATGCTCTTCTTGCAAGTTACGGTAGTCCTGAAAATCAGAAGTGATTTCAGCGACACCCGTATAAATGTCCTCGACTTCCTGTTGTAGATTGGTGTAACGATTATTCAAACGTGCAAACTCGCCCATATAAAGATTGTGTTCAGAAAAAGGAATAAGGCGAGATGAGCTAGAAGCACCAGCACTAGGAGCAGGAGGAGGAGAGGGTGGAGGACTATGGTCTACTGTAACACCTAAGTTGGATCTGAGTTTCTAATTAGTTGATGGAATATCATTGGCTAAATTGAGTATCTTCTTATTTCTGTTGTCTATACGTAGATACTCTTTCCCATCTACTGTCCAATGAATATCCCCAGTGGGAAGGCGGTGGAAGAGATGCATTGTTTCCATAACATCAATTGATAGACAAGTACGGCCCATGATTATGTTTGTTGGGTTATTGGGTAGATGGAGGCCAAGATGCTCTGCAATAATTGAAACCATGCCTCCACAATGTAGCTATCCACCATTGCTCGTAGCACTTCTGAGTATTTTTTGAATAACCCAACAACAAAAATGAGGGACTTCTGCAGGCTTGTTAATCATACACCACAAGACTTCTAGCTCTTTCTTATTAGCCTTGCTAATCTCTTCTTGAGGGAATAAGAGAGAAGCAATAATCCGGTGAGCGACTTTCAAGACCGGATGGATAATTCTAGAAGCTTTAACAGTGCCTGATTGATACTCATACTCACAAGAGATGTTTCTCCAAAAATTTGCACAATCTTGCTCAAAAACAACATTTTTTCTACCCTTAGCTGTGTATATATCCCTTCTTGCTTTAGGAGCACCAATCATATCGCAAAGGATATCAGCATGACATTTATGGGTTTGGTTGAGCAAACGGAAAGTTAGGAGATGGGTTTGATAGTCAAAGGTAATGGAAGACAAAAGTTCCAACATCGGTGTTTGGTAACTAACTGCATGAAGATTCAAAAGACCCTCCCATCCTATGTTTTTAAAAAGCTTGTGAACACCCTTGTATATGTGTAAATCTTTGAGGGCTTGGATGTCCACAAATTTTTGAGCACCCATTGTTCTTGTAACAAGATTTGCATACAAGATTTCCTGTCGATTGGTCTAAAAAATAAGACCAAATTCATAGGGGTTGTTTATGGCATGTAGGTCTTGTTCATCATGTGAAGTGCCAACTCTATGTCTTTTACCCCGGGAAGCCATAACCCAAATGAATCAACAAAATATTGCACACAATTAAGACAATTGAAGCACAAGAACTAGCAAGTTTCACCAAAAAGCACCCAAAAAGGGAATGTGGTTCTATCTAAATGCACAAAGTAAGAGTTTGGAACAATTATACCAATTTGTGCTTGATAATGGTGGTAAGATGATATCCAATGCTTCCCCAAGCTATCCCCAAGCTTATCCTACAAGAAATTTGAAGCATTAGGTTGAGATTTGAAGTTAAAAAATTCTAGGGTTTTGTTAAAAAAAAAAACCCAAAATCGGCCATGGGAGAAGGAAATAGAGGTGGAAGATAAAGAAGATGAAGAAAAGGGAGGAATTTCATACCTTGGAGCTTGATTTTTGATGCAAAGTTGAGGAAGATTGAGTAATTGTAAGGGTTTTTTCGAAGGGGGCAGTAGGGAGGGAAGGAATCGCAGGTATTGAATGAATAATGAGTTAGAAAAATTGAGATTTGACCTTAAAATCGTTCAACCCTGTTTTTGCGTTTACACGACCCGTGTAAATTAAAGGGGAGAATTTACATGGCCGTGTAAATCCCTAAATCATTAAACCCGTGTTCAATCGTTTACACGGCCCATGTAAATGCAAGGCATAAGTTTACACGGCCGTGTAAACTTCTGAGAAAGCCAAAAACTTGATTTTTTTTCACTTTTGCAACCCGCTAAACCTCTACTGCCCGAAAAATGATTTTTAACCCCTTTTTAGCATGAAAAACAACTTGGAATTTTGAAAACAAAGAAAATGAAATGAAAATATACGAAATGACAAAAATACCCCCGGGTTGCCTCCCGGTTAGCCGCCCCTTTTTGATGTCGTTGGCTCGACTTGGACCCCAACTATTTATGCTTTAGTCTGGATACGTGGGTCTCTCCAACATATCATCACTTCTCACATGCTTCTTGTCATCAGTAAACTCTAAAATCTCCAACACTTCATTATCCATATCAAACTTCTTTGCAAACTCTTCGGCTTTGTCCCTGTCTAGTTTTCATGACAAAACTAACTCCATAAATTCATTGTTGGACAAGTTCAAACCCTTTTTTGTTGAGGGATGGATCAAATTGACAAAATTAACAGATTGAACATCAAAAGGAGTCTTTTTTGCTTCATGCACATTGAAGTTGATAACTTCACCATCAAATTCCATACTTAAGGTTCCATTGTAGACATCGATTTTTGTTTTAGAAATTTTAAGAAAAGGTCTACCCAAAAGTATGGAACTTGAACTTGGAGAGTCATCATCTCCCATATCTAAGACATAAAAATCAGTCGGGAAGCTAAATTCATCGACTTGCACTAACACGTCCTCTATTACTCCCTTTGGGTGTACCAAAGACTAATTAGCAAGTTAGATGAGCACACTGGTTTTGCTCAATGTTCCTGCACCAATTGATTTGAAAAGAGAATATGGTAGGACATTTACAGATGCACCTAGATCAAGCATAGCTTGAGGTACATAAATATTTCCCAACTTGCAAGGCACAGTAAAGACATCGGGATCCTTGCACTTCAGGGGCATCCTCTTTTTTCAAAATCGTGGATACATGCTCCCCAACCGTTACGCCTTGATTTCCTTTTAATTTCTTTTTAGGTACACAAAGATCGTTAAGGAGCCTTGCGTATCTAGGTACCTGCTTGATGACCTCGAGGAGTGGAATGTTGATTTGAACTCTCTTGAACATTTGCATGATGTCATTCTCCTCCCGTTCTTTCTTCGTGCTCTTTAATCTTTCGGGAAATGGAGCAGGTGTTGTTTTAGACTCAGAGATGAAGGGCTTCTTTTCGCTTATTTTCTCTTCCTCCTTCTCTTCTTTGGTTGCCTCTTCAACCATTATTTCTTCTTCTTTTTGACCAACCGAAAATTTTGGACCATCATAGCTTTTCCCGCCTCTTAATGTGATGGCACACACATTGTGCCTTGGGTTTGCTTTAGTTTGGGCAGGCAACTTTCCTTGAGATTCTAGTTTGCTTACAGAAATAGCAAGCTGTGAAACTTGTTTCTCTAAGTTCTTTATGCTTGCTCTTGTCTCTTGTTGGAAAGCTTGTGTACTAGTTGCCAAACTTTTTACTATGTCCTCTAAAGACGTACTTGATGAACCCGCTTGTTGAGGAGGGTGTTGTGGTTGCCTTGGCTGAAAGTTTTGAAAAGGTGGTCTTTGTTGGTTGATAGTTCCCTTGTTGATTTCCTCCCCAACCTTGATTGTTGTTCCATCTTTGATCACCTCGTGGCTGCTCATATCCCCTTTGACTAGACCCAAGAAAACCTCCCATGGCTTTTTCTTCTTCATAATCTCCCTCTTGAAGTTGAGGGCACATGTCGGTTGGATGCCCCACTTGAGTACAAATACCACATGGACGGGGTGTGGGTTGCACACTTTTGTCTTTGGCTAGCATCATAACCACTTTCGTAAGTTCGGACAATTGAGCTTCAATTTGAGGAGTTTGGACCTCCTTTACACCTCGAGGTGCATCCATGTACCATTCTTCTTCTTGAACTGTATGCTTGGACTCTTCTGCCATGTTCTTGATAAGAACTCTAACTATCAGCTATAGATCCACCACTTGATGCATTAAGTAATCTCCTATCCCAAGATGACATTCCTTCACAAAAATACTGCAACAATTGATGTTCGGTAATCCCATGTTGTGGACATTTTGAGCACAATTTCTTGAACCGTTCCCAATAAGTATGCAAGGCTTCTCTCTTTTGTTGCTTGATTCCTATTATCTCACTGCGTAAAGCTAAAGCTCTCATTTACGGAAAATATTTATCCAAAAACATCCTTGCAAGTTCATTCCATGTTGTGACTGACCCCGATGGTAAGTCGTATAACCACTCCTTGGCTGAATCTTGTAAAGCAAAGGGAAATGCCCTTAACTTGATTTGATCTTCTGTAACTTCATGTGGCTTCATACCCACACAAACAACATGAAATTCCTTAAGGAATTTATGTGGGTCTTCATTCTCAAGACCACGGAATGAGGGTAACAAATGGATGAGTCCAGACTTGAGTTCAAAGTTGATTGTTGTAGGGTAATTTATGCACAAAGGTTGTTGGGTGACATCTTGAGTGGCCCATTGTCTAAAGGTTTGTACAAGTGGTGGATGTGGAGGATTTTGATGTCCTCCATGGTTTTCTGCCATGTTAGGAGTAGGTGAAGATGGTGGAGTGATACTTTTTGATGTTGGAGAGGATGTGGTTGATGGATTTGATGAAGAAGCTCTGGATTGTTGTTGTTTCTTTAAAAGTCTGGCTTGCTTCCTTCTCTGTTTAGCAGATTTCACTATTTCCAAATCAACTGGTAAAGGTGTACATGTGCGAAAAGATCTTGGCATAAACAATTAGTACTACCGTATCCCTGGCAACGGCGCCAATTTGTTTGGGTGTCAAACCAACAAATGATGGGATAAAATAATATTAATATAACTCAAATCACTACTATTTCTAATACTAAAGATAGTATAGAGTAAGCAGGGTCGGTCCACAGAGATACGGGACTCTTATCTTGCCATATTTTCACACATAATACAAGTAATATTGAAACGGGGGTTTGTGTTTGAACTTGAATTGAACTTCATAAATAAGAAAGATTGAAAACAAATGCGGTAAAAGAAGTACATTTCCGATTCTGACTCTTATAGATGTATTATGTTGAAAGATGTAATATGATTCTAACTCATGTTCAATCTAGGTTGATAAGTTGGATATTAATAAACTCTAATATCCAAATTGGCAAACGTATTTTATTCAAAACAAGCTCTTCAAATAAAACTTCATTTAATTGATTCAATCCAAATAAGCTATTGCATTAAATCATTAAATGACATTAGGTTCTTGCACTAATTACCAACAATGTTTAACATTCCTCCTAACCTTGGGAATATAAACATTTAATCTTTGATTGCACTAATTTTGATCTAATTACAACCAAGTAAGTGAGTGTTACTAACATCAAATCATAAAACATATACGAATTTCATGATTTGATTAACTAGATTGACTAGAACCCTAGTTCATTGATCAAGTGAAAAAGAGAACTAATCAAATGCATGATTAAGATCAAATCAAAGATTACTAGATGTTAAACATAAGTCAAATTCAAGTTACAATCTAACAACACATACTTAAGAATTTAGATTCGGAAATGATAATAAAATTAACCACACATATCTAGGTTGAACTACAAATCAAACAAGTTTAAACTTCAAATTGACTTATAAAAAGAAATTAAAGTGT